GCAAACGTGCCGTCATCTTCGACTCAGTAACTCTAGCCAGTCTTCATTACTCCGGATATCAGGGTGAGCTAATGCTTCTAGCTTGGACTGGATCTTCCTCTTCATGTCTTGATGCCTTGAAGTTCCAGCATGGACTAGCTTTTATGTATTTTTAGCTTCTTAGAAACTCTTAGATTTAGTAATTTGAAGTAGATGTTCTTGTGATGGTGACTTCCAGATTTTGGGGGTTGAGTTTTTAGAAGTTATTGAATTGGTTTTTATTAATGAGTAAGTCTTCCGCATTACTTTCTGTTGATATTATATTAAAATGTTAAGGTTTAGATTGGTTGGTTCGCTCACATAGGAGGGTAAGTGTGGGTGCCAGTCGCGGCCCAGTTTTGGGTCGTGACAAGAAGGAATAGATACACCTATAGAAATATATTTAGCAGATGACAGAATTATACAACCTATAGAAAAAAGTATAATAAGTGCAGTAAAAGGTAAGTTAATATACCAAAAATTTAAATTTATAATAAGTGCTAATTACTAAGTAGCAATTAATGATAGAAACATAGATAAATCATTAGTATTATATTGGAAAATGTCAGGAATAGAGCTAGCACCTGAAAGTAAAATATTTACATCCACATATAAAAAATTATATGTTTTAACAACAAAACATAAAATAACAGCAAAAAATAAAATAAAAAAGATAAAAATAGAAAACCCCTTTGAAAAAATAGTTACGGTTATAGATAATAATGACTATAGTTATAACGAAATTGATATAGAAGGAGACTTAGAAATAGTACAAGAAAGACTAAGAACATCAAAAAGAATAAATAATAATGATATACCACAAACATCATCAAAAATAAATACTTCAAATAGTTCCAAAAGAATAAATATAAGTTCACAAGGAACAATAGAAGAAGAAATAAAACCACACCATTATTATATAACAGGAATAATGGAGCAAAGAAAATATTTAATACTAATAAATACATGACAAGAAGAAAACTACATTACAAGAGAATTAGTAATGGAAGAGAAAATAATAACCACGGAACACTCATGTCCAGAATTACCAAAAGTATTAATACATATTGAAGAAACAACGGAACAAGAAATAATAATTGGAGGTATACCAATGATAATAAATTTTAAAAAATATATCAAGGAAATGAAAATATAACATTAGGAATAAAATGGCTAGAACAAGTAAAACCATACAATATAGAGGATAAACAACTAACGATAAATTACAAAAATAAAAAAGTCGTAAAAAGGAATTTAATGTAAAAAATATGAAAATATATATACTCACAAAGATAATAATAGAAGGATATTATAACAGATATTATACACCAATGATAGATACAGAAGCAGAGGCTAATAAATGTAAATACAATTGTTTACCACAAGAAAAATAGAAAAAGTTAAAAACACCAATAGTAGTAACAGGATTTAATAATGAAGGAAGTATGATCACGTATAAGGCAAAAGATACAAAAATACAAATATGGGAAAAAATATTAACTGTAAACGAAATATATAATTTTGAACTAACAACAAAGGATATGTTATTAGGAATGCCATTTTTAGAGAAATTATATCCACATATAATAACAAAAACACACTGGTAGTTCACAACACCATGTAAACAAAAGATAGGATCAAAAAGAGTAGGTAACAAAAGAAGAAAAACAATGGAATGGATTAAAGGTAGTGAAAAAATTACACAAAAATTAGAAAATATAAAAGAGGAAGACCCTAGAATAGAATTAATTATATTTTCCTTAGATAAAGTTAAAATAATCCAAGAAAAATTAGAATTATTATATGATAAAGATCATTTAAAAGGATGGGAAAAACATAAAATAGAAGTTAAAATTGAACTGATTGATGAAAATAGTATAATAACACAAAAATCATTAAAATATAATTTTAATAATTTAAATGAATTTAAAATACATATAAATGAATTACTAAAAAATGGACATATACAAGAAAGTAAGTAAACATACAAGTCCGACATTTATTGTTAATAAATATAGTGAACAAAAAAAAAGGAAAAAGTAGAATGGTCATTGATTATAGAAATTTAAATGCAAAAACTAAAACATATAATTATCCAATATCAAATAAAATATTAAAAATAAGACAAATACAGGAATATAATTACTTTAGTAAATTTGATTGTAAATCAAAATTTTATCATTTGAAATTAGAAGAAGAATCTAAAAAACTTACAGCATTCACAGTACCACAAGGATTTTACGAATGGAATGTATTACCATTTGGATATAAAAATGCACCAGGTAGATTTCAACATTTTATGGATAACTATTTTAAACAACTAGAAAATTGTGTAGTATACATTGATGATATATTATTATATTCTAAAACACAAGATGAACACATAAGATTACTAGAAAAAATTATACGTATACTACAACACTCAGGAATAAGTTTAAGCAAAAAGAAAGCAGAAATAATGAAAAAACAAATAGAATTTCTAGGAATACAAATAGATAAAAATGGAATAATATGCAAACGCATATAGTACAAAAGATAATAACCTCAAATGAACAATTAGATACAAAAAAGAAATTACAATCCTTTTTAAGATTAGTTAACCAAGTAAGGGAATATATACCAAAATTAGCAGAAAACTTAAAACCATTACAACAAAAACTAAAGAAAGACGTAGAATACCATTTTGATAATAAATATCAAACACAAATACAAAAGATAAAATTATTATGTAAAATATTAACGAAATTAAATTTTCCGGATGAAGATAAAAAATTTATTTATAAAGTAGAAACTGATACAAGTGAAAAGAGTTATGGAGAAGTATTGAAATATAAATATGATAATAGTAATATAGAATATCACTGTAGATATTATTCATGCACATATACGAATACGGAAATAAAATGAAAAATAAATAGGAAAGAATTATTTTCTGTATATAAATGTTTATTAGCATTTGATCCATATATTGTATATAACAAATTTATTGTAAGAACAGATAATACACAAGTAAAATGGTGGTTAACCAGAAAAATACAAGATTCAGTAACAACAAAAGAAATTAGAAGTTTGATATTAAATATATTAAACTTTACATTTACAATTGAAGTAATAAAGACTAACAAGAATGGTGTTGTAGTCTACTTATCAAGACAAAGCTACTCAGACTGACAACAAAAATGAAGATACAATCGAAGAGCTACTCAAAGTCATTACTACACTTTGTAACAAAGTGAACAGAATGGACAATGAGATACAAAAGCTAAAGACTAATGAAGATAACCTGAAGTCTAAAGCTAATATAAGTCAGCAACATGACTATAAAAATGTGGAGCTACATCTATCGGAAGACGATAAAATTCCAGAGATAAAAGGAGACGATGGGAACTCCCTAAAACCCATAACGTTTGTTTAAATACAGCTGTAGGTACAAGCAGGAAAGTTAGTAAGAAATCACGAAATACAAACTTAAACCAATTATTTATAAAACCATTTACCCAAAACACACAAAACATATACCCACAAACCGCAAACTTCTACATACGCAGTTAGTATACAGAGTGATAAAAAATCACACAATCATATATTGAAAACATATATAAGATCCAAACATATTTAAATTGAAACCTCAAATCCACACAAACCAAAAACCCAAACGAAGATTATATAACCCAAAAACTACAAGGATATAATAGATTGATTGCACAACCTAAAACTAGTTCAAACTTAGTAAAAACATGTTACAGCTATGGACTACTAAGTACAGTATATACATACGACGAAGAAGAAATTACTGTAATACCAGAGTTATACAAAGCATTTATCACATATAAAAGAGTTACAAGAGGAAACTTGTTTTTATATCAAGTTTTATACAGCACCAGCAAAGATATTGTATGAAGAAATTAAGTCACCGATTCAAGTTATCAAGATAGGATTAACAAAAGATATGATATACCAGAAGATATTGGACATCAAAACAAAATACCAAAAATAGAAATACCAAATTTTTATGTCAATAAAAGAATAATTGGTATATCAACTATTATACAGGAGTTAGCACACAACTATTTAAATGGAAACGCTATATGGAGTTATTACGCTAGAGATCAAATTATGATATATTCAAACTCCAGAGAGTTAAGAAGAGCAGATATGGATGAAGTCCAGCGATGGATTTTGTCACTATTAAAACCAAAAGAACAACCTACGACAAGAGCATTGAAAAAAGAATTTATTTCAGAAGAATTATTAACCAAGATATTGCAAACTTATTGGACATAAGTATCCAGATCACAGATGCTCTAAATGCCATGGAGAAGATAACATAATACCAGATGTTGATTTGGAATAAGGACAAGGAGATAAATTTGCAAGATAAGATAAGGATGAAGAAAAGAAAAAGAGATATGGTAGACAAAGAAAAAGTGACAAAAGAAAAAGAGACATAAAGATAGAAAAGATGGCAGACAAAGAGATAAAAAATAGAAGAGATAAGATTCCTTTGTACAGTACTTTTGCTTTTTTGAAAGGCCAATGTGTATAGCTGGCCATTTGTAAAGTTTTGTTCAAAAGTCGTAAAGTGTACAGTAGACGCACTTATGTGCAGGCTTAGAATTTAGTATATATAAATTGTCAAATTGTAAATGAAAGGCAGGCAATGCCAAACTAAAGTTCAAGTTAATAAATCCTCTCTCAAAATACAAAGCTCTCTCAAAGACACAAACTAAGAAAAACATATGGAAAAATCGAAAATACAATCAGATATCTTAGATAGCATGACAAATCAAGAGGCAAAGGTATATTGTTTATTAGATATGCAGAACTAATTTCATATATTCTTGAATATCATATATATGATTGAATAAATTTATGTTAGTTATTATACACTAGACATATTTGAATCATGAATTCTAGTTTGCTAGTAAACGGGAAACAGGGAGAAAACTGCTAGACTATGTCATCCCACAGTGGAAACCGGTAGGCGAGGGATGTCTTAGGAGAGTACACAAGGTTGAGGCGCTGATAAACAGTAATTATCCGCTAAAGTACGATGCTAATAGTGACTAGAAAACATGATAACGATAATCTAGTTTATAATAAACTAATATTAATTTAATTACATTATGATATGATAGGAAGAAATAACTGAAGAAAAACCTGCATAATAAAAATAAACATGTTTACAATGTACGATGAAATAAGAAGCTATAAAACTTTGATTTTATATATACTTAAAGATATAGAAATTGATGACATAAAAAGAGTTATATGGGAAAAAATATTTGAATATGATTTAGAAAATATATTAAATCAAGAATGGTATAAAATAAATTTACAAGAATTAGAAATAGAAAGAATAGATATATACGATTTAGAAATAGATTCAGATTAAAATGAACTATTACTATTTAGAACATTGGATAGAAACTATGAAAAATATAAGATTATTAGAACAATTAATACAATAGAATTTAAATATGTATCAAAGAACCCAAGATATATTATATATGGAATATTTAATAAGCATCCTTGAAGAAATAATTAGATTAAAACAATTATTAGAAGAAATATATATACCTTAACTTATCTTAACTTATGATGAATTCCGCACCCCCAAAAATGTATATCTTAACTTATCTTAACTTATGATGAATTCCGCACCCTCCTAAAATGTATATCTTAACTTATGATGAATTCCGCACCCCTAAAAATGGTATCAGAGCTATGAAAAATAAAAACAAGTATGGTATCAACAGAAAGATAAGAAAAATAAAAAGAAAATTAGACAAATTATATCCAAAATATAAAGAACTTAATATTACAAAAAATGAAGAATTAGAAGAAATGGTAGATATTATTTCTAAATTAGAATATAAATATATTAAATATTTAAAAATACGATGAATAACGAATATAAACAAGAACTTAATAAAATAATTATTGCAAAAAGAAAAGAATTAAGACATAGAAAAAATAGACTAAATAGCAATATATTTGCAGGAACTTGTGAAAAATCTATAATAGCACAAAGAAATACTATTTTATATTTAGAAATACAAATAGAGATTCCAGATTTCCTGTTTCCAGATTTTCCAATTTCAACTTTTTCAGATTCCAACATTACCATTCAAAAGGTCCTTTTGTGGTCTGGAGAGTATGAAAACTAACAATATCCATTTCTTAGTCAAAAAGAAATCAATTCCAGAAGAAAAAAGATTAACAATAATTGTCATACTGATGTCTTTATCAACTTTTAAGATATTCAGTTCCTTAGAATACAACCATTTGGATTTTAGCTTCAGTTTGGCTACCTAAACCATCTTAGCATGTGGACGACACACCACGTAAAAAACAGACCCACAAACAACTTTATAACTTGTCCGACCTCTATCAATTTCACAGACGAGAGACGATAAATAACAAAAACGACATACAAAACAGCTAATTAATAATAAACATTTAAAGAGTATTTCCATGTCATGTTCATATCATTAATACATCAACTTCAACTCCACCATTTTGAACACACAAAATTGTGGAACCTAAAACAAACTTCCACCATCTTGTATCAAAATTCACAAAGGTATAAATTGTCAATTAGTTTATACCTTTGTGGTCCTTTGTGGTCTAGAGAGTACAATATTGAGGTATAAATTGTCAACCAATGAAAAAGTGGTGACATTTGGAGGGGATTCAGTGAAGTGTGTTAGCTACTATCAGCAAGGGTGTGACACAGTGGATCATACATCATTCAGGGTCAAGTATTTGATCGTTAAATACATATATCACCTGCTCAACACCGTACCATATATTCAGTGTCCTATGCAGTGGACAGAAATGTGAATCTTTTAAGAGTTAACTAATCAATGTAAATCTTTCAATTGTATTCATACATACATAGAAGCTAACAGTAATGCTAATTTTATTAAGAATCATTAAATCATTAACTACTTCACAAAAATAAGTTTTAGAAGTCACGCGTAAGTTATCAGAATCATGTGTTATGAGATGATAAAATTTTCTTACATAGTCATTGCACTTATGCTATGCCAAATCAAACCTTCAAGCCTCCACAAATGTTTTTGAAAGTTTATGATACTACCAAGAAAAAATAAGTACAATTAATACAATAGACACAATTAAGAAATAAAGTTACTAATAGGATAGACACAATTAAATGAACTAATCAAGATAAAGAAATTCTATCGAGAAACAGGTTCAAGTTGTAAACAACATTTTAAAGAAGTTCAAATGCTTTATTTAGAAGACCAAAAGTACAATATATTGTGAAAATGACTTGTATTTCGTAGAAAACATGAACTGTAACTGGCCAAGTCTAATTGACAAGGTACTATTTGCTTTGGACCTAATTAGTATTTAGTGGTATCAGTAGAATGCACTCATACAGAATGTACATGATGAGATCACTGTTTTCAAAAGCATTCTACAGTATATATATATATATATATATATAAGACAGAAAGGGAAACAATGGATTATCGCCAAAGCAATTGGTGCCCAAATATAAATCTTCGAGCCTCTATTCCTGGAATTATTGAAGTAATAAAGTTGAGATCAAGTCAGCTAAAAGATGATTAAGAAATAATATTTGCAGGTTACTCACTACAGGGGATTGATTACAAATTTACAATAGTATGGGAATATAACATAGCAAAGGGCTGCAATATTAGGCCACTCCAAGATAAAAAACATATTAAAAGAAATGTTCCATATTGAGGGAGAGAAGTCCACAAAGAGAGGACACAACAATAAATCAATAATATGACAAAAGCAATTGAACATATGAACTATAGTCAATATCCTCTGAGCAAGTTGAGAATAAACAACTGATAGACCTTTTAAGATAATAAGCACAAAAGGTCATAAAGCAGACATATGACCCTTGCTAGTTGTTATCCATCTACAGATATGATATTATTTTCCCACGTGTTGGATAGAATTAAAGCACATAAGATAACATTAGGACCATCCTAGTAAGACTATAGAAACACGAGGATGAAGCCACTAAAGAAGCTTTTTTGGCATGGGAAGCCTTACAGTAATTTGATTACTATACCCTTGGTGAGAAGAGAAAACCATCATGATAATCTTTGTTCTATCTTCTCTAATCTTCTCACAAGATCCTACGTAATTCAAATATTACCATAAGTGATCTGCATATCACTTGCTATTCACAACTAGTACTCTTTTATGGCAATAACTGCAAGAGGAAATGCTCATGTAAGTCATGAGGCTTTTAGTTTCCATAGAATGTTAAGTGAAGTCTTTGTGTACCTTATATCTTCAAATCACAATTGCTACCCTTATTAATACCGCTGACAACCTGCAAGCATAAATTGAAATGATACATGTTAGGTTTTAGTACACATGTAGCCTATAGGAAAAGCTCCAAAACAAACTACTTAGACATCTGTAGCATGGTTCATCATAAGTATCAAAAATAGCTCCAATAGAAATCCCTATTGGCAAATTAATTTCTAGCTAGTTATCACAAGTATCAAAAACGGGTTTACATAGCTAAAGAGGACCAAAAGATTTACAAAAATTCTGATCTCCCATTGTTTCTTTGAGTGGACCTGATTTAGTGAACCTAATAAATATTCATACCATACAGAGGCATCATCAAATACAGGGTAAGTTTCTATACACACATATATCCATCAAACAACCCACAAACACCTTAAACTATTTATTATACTAACTGCATACACAGGTTTCCAACCATAAAAGCTGCCTTAGGAACAAAGATAAAAAAAATCTTTAAAATAATCACAGACTCTACACTTACCCACTACTATGCATCTCAATTCATTCACATTACATGATAATACAGACGCCTCATTACCGGAAACCATAAACAACATATTCTGGTTGAGAAATCATAACTAAACACAATATCTACTTACACGCAACATATCATATGCACAATACTTATTAAAACATTTTAAAATCATTTTCTATGGAGGATTGTATAACCAATGTGATGATTCCTTTATGGAGAAATGTGCAGACGTATGCGTTCCAACGCGTACACAAAGAAGTATTAGCAGACTAACCATCTGGCACAATACAAGTACATCTGTATTCTACATTTAGCACCTCGAGAATGTTATGCTATATTGACTATTTCGAGGTACTTGACTGATTGTCAGTGTCAAGTGTTGTAGTTGTGCTGTTAGTTTGATTAGGCTATCTAGGTGACTTCAGGAACTTTCTTTTATTGACACATCAGGAAATCGCAACAATTGCAGGAGCTAAAGAGAGATAGGAATATGCCTGTGATAAAAATTTGCAGTTGCAATTGATTGAAACATAAAGTTATCTGATCTAAAATACCACCTTAAATTTTAAAAGCTTGCTTTGATGTGAACTTAGTGCAATAAAAATACTCATAAAATGCTACAATGCATCCCTTGGGAGCATCTGGCAGTGTGCTTATTTGGCTATATGATTTTCTTTTAGAAAGTATTGAATGAAGACTAAAGTCTGATATTCTTTTCACAGAAACTAGAGATTCATATCTTCTCCACAAATAATTAACCAGAGTTCACTACTTCCAATTAAAAGCAAGAATAATGAAGCTGAACCCTTATTAGTTGTAGACTTGGAAACCAAACTAAATCATTTAATTGCAGGCTACTTTGCACAACTAAATCAAAAGCAATTTTTTGGATGATAAATTAAAATATCCCTTGGGATAAATACCGCTATGTCTATGTCCAAGTTGCGCAAAGTCCTTCACCTTCGATACTGCACTTTACTTCAACAACATACATAATCACATATACACATAACCCTGTATACGGTACATGAGTTCAGTATTTGTGTATCCAATACATATAATGTCTACCACCAAAATTATGTGACAGGTTGATAAAAGACATGGAATTTTGGCCCTCCTAACTACACACGTCAATAGTGCAGCGTCATTCTATGGTACGAGGAGCGGACAAAAAAAAGTAAAAAAATCCTAACAGTAGTGCGTTCATTTACGAAATACGTAAAGGTATGTTCGGAAGTTCTCTTCAATTTTTTCAAGGTTTACCCATGTTTACAATAGTGTCTTCATTTACTTGTATCTCTAAAGAAGAAAAATCTTGTCTGCTCAATATACTAAGGCTAGCTTTGACATTTAGATTTTTTTCAATTTCTTCAAATACTTTGGAATTTTAGCTATAACAGCCCCAAACTAATCAATTACTTCTAAACACAAAATAAAAATTCAATCAATTGATTGCTTTTAGTACTAGATGATTAGTAGAGAGTAACAAGGAATTTCAGCTGTACGATATTGGTACTTACGCTTGACAAAATTGGTTCTTCAGCTTACGTTCTTCAGCTCAGCAACAGTTCGTCCGCAAGAGCTAAGCTCAGCTCAGCTCTTCAGTCTTCTGCTTCCTCTCTTCGATCTTCAGTATCTACTCGTCTATTTGAAGTTGTAGAGAAGAGAAATTGTGTGGATTTTTCATATAAGAAGGACCTGCAGCTACCGTTCTGGAGAAGATAAATAGCCCCAATTTGCTCTCTGATTCTTAGATAGGAAAGTTTTTAATAATGTTTTATCAATTATTTTATTGGCCAATAAAAATATGGGAGAGCGATTAGAAAATGTTGGAGAGAATCTAATATTTTACTGAAATTTTTTAGTCCACACTTCTAAACTGTTGTTTTTACAATTATAAAAATAGGACCCTTTAAAAGTGTGGTCATATATATAAATAATTATTGCCATTAATTTCATACTATGACAGCGCTTATAAAAGTGTAGCCTATACCATTAAAGGGTACACTTTACAAGTATTGCCAATATTATTGTTGACAAAAGTTAAATTTTAGACTACATTTTAAAAGTGTTTCCAAAAATATTTTAGGCAACATTTTTCAAGCGTTGCTCAGATTTAGTGTGCCCATAGGCCTAAAAAGGTGTAGTGTTCTAGTAACTTGTTTCAATACTTGAGCAATTGAGTGTATGAGAACGAAGAGAATGTATTCATAAGTCTACCTTGTCATCTTGAGATCCTCCATGTCATTACACAAAACTCTTGAATTCATAATTCACATTTAAAAGAGAGAGTTAAGAGTAGAGTTCGAGAAAGATTTTGAGTTCAATAGTAAATTCTTTGAGGTAAACCATTTATTTGAACTAAGTTTTGAGGAAGTAAGTATGAGAATGATAAGCGTCGTATACATGAGTTTCTTAATGATATTTTGACCCTTAAGTCTAGTCATTCATGCCCATAACATCCTCATGAACTCCAATTAGTTGAGTACCTTTGAGATAAATAGCATATTCAAGTCCTAAGTTTTGAGTAATAAGTTCTAAGCCATTTGATTTTATATTTATAATCATTGGACTATTACATGTTATCCATGAAGTCTTTGAGTTGAATTGTTCATGCCATAATTATGCATAAACCATAGAAGTCGAAAAGTCTTGAGATAAGTAGTGTCTTTCAGTCCTTGAGTTGAGTAGTTCATGCTCATAATTTCGTATGAACCTCCAAGTTGAATATCATGAAATCATCCATAAACATGAGATCATGAAACTTGAATCCATAATCCAAGTCAAGGAAAGTTAAGATCAAAGTTAAAGAAATTAGGAGTTAAGTCTAGAAGTTACGAAGTAAGTCAAAGCAAAGTTCTTAAGTTTCAAAAGTCGTATTAAGCATTTTAACTTCGTTTTAAGGATCAAGTTTCGAGTTAAAGTGAAGAGTAAAAGTTGAAGTCATTCATTCAAGAAATATACGAGAACTAAGTATTCTCTAAGAGTTGATTTAAGATCAAAAGTTTCAAGTTAAGTACAGAGTAAAGAACTGAGTTCATTTCTCAAAAGTCATAAGGGAACTAAGTATTCCCTAAGAGTTACAAATGTTTTCACATTTTGAGCAAGAAAGGAAGATAGACTTCCAACAGAGCCTTTGGCTAGTTTTTAGTAAAGAGGAATCTATGATTTCCAAGAGAGCTTTTAAAGCTAAGTTTGAGAAATTACCTCAAACTAGAGAACAAGTTTTTAAAACATATGAGCTAAGTATTTTGGGGTAGTATTAAGCACTAATATGGGGACGCGAGTTCATATTAACTCAATCCCCCATAAACCATGAGGCCAACATAGACGGAAGAAGGGTCATACTTTTTAGATGATTCCTAAGTGCTTTTTTAGCATAGACTAGTAGATCCACTTAGTAGTTCAAGTTCTATGCTGACGGCAAGGTATAAGATGGTCCTCTTGCAACGTGAGGTATGACCTTGTACCATCACGTAGGCTCATCGTAATTGTTGTCGGTTAGAGAATCTCCTTTAGAAACTATATTACTTTATTATATAAGTAAAGTTGAGTTTGTTATTGCATTTTCTTTAACGAACTAAGTTGTTTTTACTATTTTATAAAGCTTTTTATACATAGCATGTGTACCGTTGCTTTATATTGAGTTGAATATCCATAGTCGAGTATCATATCTTTGAGCTTAGTATTTAATCTCTAAATGAGTATCTCATTCTTGAGTATGCTGAGTTGAGTAAGTTGAGTATTCTTGAGCATTCCTTGAGTTTCAAGTTTGAGAAGAGGTAAGTATGTATCCATTTTTCTATCAAGTATCAAGCTTATTTTATGCTTTAAAATTACCCTTACATGCTCATACATTCCACGAACTGAGTTAATTGGCCTGCATCTTTTGATGATGCAGACACAGGTATTCAGGATCATCAATAGAAGTTTCGTTGATACATCGAAGAGTTCGAGTTAGCTATGGTGAGCCTCCTTACTTCCGGAGGATTTCATTTACTTTTCAGTTTAGTTAAGATGTCGTGGGTCTTGTCCCGACTTTTCTGTTTATCAGTTAGAGGCTTCATAAATAGTCAATATAGTTGAGGAGTCTGTATTAATCATTTATTTTATTAAATGTATCAAAGACTAAAGTTGTCTATTTTATGGCTAGTTGAATATATTATTCTTATTAAAATTTGTACATTTGATTTAAAACTTTGTAAAGTTGATTTTATTAAATTTCATTTCAGTTAAAAACTTTTGTATGCTTAAGTTAGTCTTACGCTTATAGTCAGTCAGGATAAGGGTTCGCTTGGGGACCAACAATGGTCTTCAAGTGTCGAACGTCCAGGGTGTAGACTTGGATTGTGACATTATATTTAACATGAAATACCCATTTTGGAGTCCACCATTTTGGCATGAGGGACAGATAAAACAAAACACCAAGTACCTTGAGTTTACAATGGTGAAATCTCTGCATTCATAGAATCACACCAATTTGGATCTTTTAAGGCTTGAAAAACATTGCAAGGTTCAACTAGCTTGGGTAGGGAAGAAGGTTGTTTTGACTTGGTGGAGTTTTTGCTTGTTGGAGATAATTGGTATGGTTTGGTTAATGGTGATACATAAGATATATTCAGATTGGTTGAATCATGAACAATAGCACTTAGACACAATTTTTGAACGGGTTCATGAATGTTATTTTTTGACCGAGTAGTCATGGGATGAGAGGATTGAATGGTTGAATTTTGATGTGACTCATTTATGTTATCAAGTAAGGAGGGGTCAGAAAAGGTAGAACTAAAAGAGGATGATGAATGAAAAAGAGACATACCTGAGTGATGACTAGATTAATTCCTAGATCCGTTTGATAAAGAAGCATTGTCAGGTGCTCTGCTAGAAGATGTGGAACCAAGAGGCAGTGTAGTAGAGGTCCTATGAGAGGTGATCGATGTTGCTTCCAATTGCACATGCAAGTGTACGTGGTCGCGCAAGTAACATAGTGGCTCTTACAAGAATCAAATAATCAATCTCAAAGGACTTGTCAATTAACTATTTTTACTAAATTATACTGATCTAATTATTTTCTTAAGAGATCCAAAAAAGAATATGCAAGAAACAAATAATAAAATTACTTACGATAGTAGGGAAATCCCTCGGCTACGACGTATATTGAATTTCATGTATCATATTTTTGGCTTAGAACTAAATTTAGTGGTCAAGTTACTGGTTTATAGGGTTAATTGTATGAGTCGAGCTGCACACTTCTCGTCGCCTACTCTAATAAGATATCTAACTACATCATTGAGTGGGGATAAGTAAAATAATTGGCTAGCATTTATATTTCATCATATTTCGTAAACAAGCAAGTTGTTTGTCAGAACGTCACTCCTAAACACAAATCACCTCAATTAAATAGACGACCGGTTCTCTATATTCTCTGGTCTATCTAACCTCTCCTCTCTCAATTTTAAGATTAGACAATATATTTATCTAATGGTGATCAGGTACGAAATACTAAAACAAGAATAAAGAAGTAACTTATAATGAAAACCAAAAATTAATTAAAAACGCCATAAATAATCAACATTCAATCCGTAAATATAGCCCCAGAAAAAGGGTTTTAGCTACTAATCTCTAAGAAAATAAGAAAAAGTAAAGAACCCTAAAAAGTATTGACGACTTTCTCTTCCAAAGCACCTCCTCTAGATTTCCTTCTCTAATTGCATGCCCTCTAATAATTATATCTATGAACTATTTATAAATGTAGAAAATCCTAACCAAATAATTGATCCCAAAACAAAATAGGATACCAAAATCCAGTGAAATAAGAATTCTTCCACGCGCCAAACACTGTAGAATTGCACTGTCGAACCGCCTCACGTTATAATTGCCTGCAATTGCTGCCACGTGGCAGCTTATGGTTACTCCAACTTTAATTCTTTCCTCACGTGCAATTTATATAAATTAAATATTATTATTTTCAATTTAATCCATTAAGATGTCTGCTTGATTTCTTTCTTCAATCTTCTATATTAATTTGTTTTAGCTTCAAACTTCTTCAACTTTATCCCAATTTAATCCTATAAATAAAATACAATATTTAATACAATCCGTAAAATTCATGGTCAAAAGGACAAATATAAATAATAAATGAGAAACAAATAATGATTAAAAATATGTATTTTTGTCACATCTGGCTCCTAGACCCTAGATGAGATCGGCGTCCTTAACCTCTCAGAGGTCGCAGACAAGCCTTTTCTTAGCTTTCATCACCATCACAAAATTAAATTTAGCGAAAAATTTAAAACTATTTAAATTTACTGAAGTGTACTTAAACTTCATATATTTCTTGCATAAGAGTGATATACTAACAACTCAAAATAAACAATCATCTATTAACAGATTGAACAATTGAAATGAATAATTCATAATATCATTAATAGTTGCCAAACTGGGCTTAATACAAAAGCTTTAACAAATGTTTGATAGGAAGCACTAGAGACAACATCCACTAGCTATATCTAATCTACTAAAGCTAGAAAATAAAGCGTAGGCATCCTCGAACTCAAGAGGACCTACCAAAGTCTGGAGGTACTAGTCCAAACAGCTTCAATTGATCTTCAATCTTCTTCAAGGACCTGCACCTATAAAAATAGTAATTGTATATGGGTTAGTACACACTTGTACTAAGTATGAGTGTATGCACACAAAGAAATAAGGACTATGCATGATCAACGAAAGCTCTTCCTATAGCAGCGTGTCATTTTTGGAAAGTGAAGTCACTTATCTTTCTTAATTCGTTTTTTATGAATCATGCTATGAATATGACATACTTTCATGAATTTAAAGCACAAAACTCATTTTTTATATGAACATAAGACCTTGGAATTATGAACATAATTTTAGAACAACTGAAGCAAAATTTAATATTTTTGCTCCACTTAGGCCGAGAGATGCCTCTCCCAGACTTAGTTTATTTTTTCAGTCTTTTTTTCTTTTGTTGTGTAGTTCAGTGATCTCCTTTGATCCTATGGTTTACTTACGAGTGCAATGATTCATTGTAGTCCCATTACTACAATGAATCAAGTAAGTAATCCAAAAGACTAAGGAAATGATTTGACTACCCTACTCACAAGTTATTCTTTCCATTCTTGTTAAATTGGGCAAGAAGTCTTTATAAGTCAATCTTTATTGGCTATGCCCATTATTTGGTCATTTGTATAATATAAAGATGCTTGGGAATATATTAATACTCCAATTGAAGAGTCATTGTGTTTTTCTCCCTTATTGGCATAAGCCAATAACTGTTAAAACTTCATTCTTATCAAACACTGATGATTTGATATACTTATGCTTTTGCTTACTTAGTTCACTTTGAAATTAAATTTCTTTTCTTTGATCTTATGTTCACTTTGAACATGCTGGGTTCACTTAGGATATTCTTTTAGGACTTCCATTGGGATCTTTCTATGCAATGACTAAGAATGACTTACATCATTACTTAGTCTAACTTCACCCTTTGGTCATCCTTTACGAACATCCCTTATCTTCCTAGTTCATTTTTTCTTTATTTCTTACTTTATTAAAGAAATCTTTAGCATTTAACTTACATAGATCATGTGATCTAACATGAAATCCAGTGTCTTCCCACACTGAAAAGTGGTGGTTCACCGGCCAAAGTGATATTGAATACTTCCTAGCTTTCTTAGGCGAATCTACTATCTAGTAACGTATACAGGCGACATAGCTCAAAGACTAGGAGAATTCGGAGACCCTTATCCACCTCGGTGGTAGTCTCATCTCAGGAGGCTTACATGTGCTTGCAAGGCTTACATGTGCTTGCACAAGCTCAGTACTAGTCTATCAGTGATTAGCTCAATTTATCATACTTTACAACTTTTAGAGTTGACTCATAGACTATGAAGTTTGCTTCTAGTATGAGGTATACTTAGCTCAATGGAAGAATTTTCATCACTTTTTATACTTGATGAATGTGAACTTAAATCTTATGATTCATTATGGTGTGAATGAGACTTGTCTCACGGTTTCTAACACCCTCTTATATGAGTATCTTTAACATAGTTGTTTAGGTGCATGTGAGGATTGTCTCACCTTTTTAACACCCCATTCCAGATCAATTTCATTACTCATATGATTTTTGTTATTTCATTTCTCACCTTATATTGGTAAATGTTATTTGGTAGTCTTGTAAATTCTTTATGAAAGTTGACTTATTCAATGTACTACTATGTTCACAAGTTCGTTTCGATAGGGTATGTTGGGACTTGTCCCAGTCATTGACATACCCTAGGTTATGAGTTCATTGAGTTACATCTTGTCAAGTCAATCTTTAACATGTATTTGACCTTACAAGAAACATCATAATTTACATTGGACATATATGATTGGTATGACTTAGTCATTGGCCAGTTCTATTATATATTTTGGAAATAATATTGTTGGCCAATTTATTGGCATAAACCAAACTTTCACTAAACACTTGTCATGATATTATCACTAGCCAAGTCCATTCACTTCATGCATATACTATATTAATATCATCATTTTAATCAAGCCAACTTTAAACATTTGATTAGCTTATAAGAACAATTCAGTGCTTAGTTTGGCCAAGCTATAAAGTATATTTGGAATCGAAGATTCATTAACTAGCTTTGATTCTCATTCTTGTTTCTTCTTGGAAACATTGCATTCCAGACACTTACAAACATATCTACTGTAAACACACACAGTAATCGAACCCTTCATTACTTTCAACAGTAAAGTGAATTTCATAAATGACTTATAACAATTTTATCTTCTCGAACAAAATTAGGCATTACAATATTTCATATATCATGTAAATGATACTCTAATCATATGGATCTTACATATAGGTCTTATTCGACATTATCAAATCACAGAAATCTACACAATGATCAGTTAGCACCACATACCAACAACATGCTCGAGATTTGCACTAGACATACTACTATAATCGAAAATAGGAGAATTTGGGAGATGAACATTCGACAATTTCATTGGGAACAACCCTACTTTTGGTTTTCTTGAATTCAAAATGTTTGAAAAGCCTCCTAGGGAAAGGAATCCAAGAGATAAACTCATACCTTATTGTAGAATTGAATCTACGAAGATCACCCTGTAATTTGCACAAATATCTTGAAGAATTTCCTTGAAATCGCCTAAGGAGAACCGAGAGTATT